GCAACAGTTCATTCTCTGGCTCTCGATTAAACCGGAAAAAAAAAAGAAAAAAAGTTAAATATATATTTAACCAGCTAATCGTTTTGATATGAAAATTTGTAGGACTTACAATATGTTTGTATCTAAAATACTTTCATAAACATTTAACTTTTTGCAACATTTAAATATTTTATTTATATACCATCAAAGGTATACCAACTTTTCCTTTTATTATCATTGTGTCTTACCACTAATTTTTTTCAGTTAAGTATAAAGTTTTATTCGAAAAAAGTTTCCAGTGAATTTTGTATACACAACCACAGCCCGCAGGTATCTACTTATTAAAAGGTCAATATTATTATACGTTAATTAAGAAAAGTAACTTTATAAAGAATAATATTTTAAGTCAGAAAACTAATTTGTCAACATTTCGAGTGAGCCAACTAAAGTGGTATTACACACAAAAATTATTTTTAATGAGAGTTTAAACAAACAACTTTTGTGTTAATATCATTATTAATTATATAATAATATTATTACCAACACAAAATTTATATTTTCTTAATAGTTATTTTTTGTAGCCATACAAATCTTTGTATTTACTAAACATAAGTATAAATTCTTCATTATATTATATTGTCATTTGATCAATTCAAATTATCTAATGACAGTTTTATATATTTCGTCTTAGTGGGAAGCCACAGCATCCGAGTTTTAAAAAGTCTGATATAATAATATGAAATTGAATGACATTTTAAGAATAATATTATTAAAATAATAACAATTTTAATTCTTAGATAATAGATATATTTAAATATTAATTAAAAGTAAGTTAACTCAGCGAGTACCATGATTGTTGGTTGGCGTGTAATAATTACAAAATCGTATTATAGAAAAATGGTATCACGTGAGAAAGAATCGATAAACCTATTGTTAAGATACAACATTTTCTTTATAAAAATTATAATGAAAAAAGAAGACAAATTTGTCAATGCGTACAATTTTATTTCATAACTATACATGACTATAGCCCGAATGGTTCCGTCTCGCTTGAAATAGTTTTTAACAACCAAACTGTGGGCGTGTTGCATCTTCTAATTATTTAACTAATATTATGGTTATTATCATTAAAGTAAAATATGTTTTTCTTCATACCTATCAACTATTTCAGTGAATTTATTCATTATGTACCTACTCATAAATGATCATGCTATGTTGAAGCCTATAGGGGCTTATAATTTAGGTAATCGTGCACAGTATTATATTAAATCGCCAGGTGACAAATTCAATATTAGTATATTACACCATATGTTAATATCTGTGTTTGTCCAGCTCAATATAATATTTTCAACCAAGTTATTTATTTTTAAAAATATATTTTCCACTCAAAACTTTTAATACACTAATCGATGGCCACCTTCAATTTGTATTCTATGTAAGTAGACCAATATACAGGATGATTTTTTTATCGAAGAACACTCATTATTTCAAAAAGTATTAATGTTTAAGAAAATATTTTTTTACATAGTTTCAAGTTGTTAAAAAACAATATTTTTATTAAAAAATTATATTTTTAAATATTTTTTATCCTTTTAATTTTTTAAGTTTTTTACTTTTTTGAATGACAACATCTAATTTTAATTTGATATTCAAAAACAGAATATTTTTCTGAGTATTTCGATACATAAAAATTGAATTTAGGGCAATTAGTTTATGAGTTATAAGTATTTAAAGTTTAGATGAGCGGAGTAGAGTGGTACGGGGTTACCCCGCGAAATGTTTGTCCTCTACTCCGCTCATCTAAACTTTAAATACTTATAACTCATAAACTACTTGCCCTAAATTCAATTTTTATGTATTAAAATAATCAGAAAAATATTCTGTTTTTGAATATCAAATTAAAATTAGATGTTGTGATTCAAAAAAGTAAAAAACTTAAAAAATTAAAAGGATAAAAAATATTTAAAAATATAATTTTTTAATAAAAATATTGTTTTTTAACAACTTGAAACTATGTAAAAAAATATTTTCTTAAACATTAATACTTTTTGAAATAATGAGTGTTCTTCGATAAAAAAATCACCCTGTATATAAAATATAACATGTGTACATAGTTTATGTACAATATTTTTTATTAATTTGGTCTTAAGACTTAGATATACCCAACTTGTACGAATATTTAAATTATTAAAATGTTACATCATTAATTTATAGTTAAGCGTTCGTAGAATTATTAACTTAAACATTTTACACATTTTACCATTTGTATATAATAGCAGCTATACTACGTGAATAATGAGGTTAAATACACAAGTGAGTTATATAACATTATATAAAATATGTACAAAACAAACCGTTTATAAATGTTTATTATTAAGAAACAATTTTTATACACCTTTTTAGTAATAAAGGAAGGTCACCACCATAGAAACGTAAATAACTAATACTACCAATTAATCTAGAGTGAAACACCATTGATATAATGTGTTATATTTTGTGCGATAAACAATTATAATAGGTCCGGGGCGTCACCGATGGTTAGCACACCATGGTGTCTTGTTACTCAATAGCCATTGAAGTTAAAAATACAAACACATGTACATTATGTTGATAAATATTTTATTTGATTCTAACCATAACATACAATAGTCAGTCTTTATTTCGTGAATCATAATAATATAAGTATAATATGAATTATGAATAATATAATACGACGAATGTGTAAACACCATTTTTTTTTTTTATATTATACACGCATATTATTATTGTTCAAACATGTTATATGTGGTTATGGGTTCGAAGTTCGACAGTGAATATCACTATTTATACGGGTGTGACTGAACGCGATTAAATATGTTTGGGGAAGCAAACATTCGAAATATTTTATAAAGTCGTAATAATTATAATACTATATGAGTTTTATACGCTCTAACACAAACGGTATGGATAATACTGTATTTGTCGAGTCGAGTCTATATTAAAATATGGCAAAAATCCCTACAGGTTTAAAAATTAAAGACGAAACTATTATAAATCGTCTTCCAATAGTCCATACACAGGACAGGCTTGGGTAATATGCTCTAAATGTTTTTATGGGGCCTATTTAGTGGGTGTTAAGAATTACTTATTAGAGATTCAGAGACAGTGTGATTGGAAGCCTATCGTTAAATCTGAAACGTTGATGATTAAATTAACCATGAACCAGATAATTTATTGTTTGACATTTTATGTCTTTGCTTTGGCACATAGAATCGAAAAACGTTACGTTACATATTACAAAAAACGTTACGTTATTTATTTTAATTTATAAATGGTTTCCGTGGGTTTTATAACTATTATAATAATAATTATTATGTCTTTGCTTTAGCACATAGATTTGAAATCGAAAAACGTTACGTTACGAAAAAAATTGCAAAATATAATTTTTCCAATCCGAGATTCGAACTCGATATACGCGCTTATCACACGATAGTTAGGTGATAGATATATGATAGCAAGGACAACAAAGACATAAAATGTGATACTTCATTGCAGACTCGTATGCAATATGATTTTTTGTATATTTTTTAAGTTATTACAAATACCTATTGATTGAAAAATTTATATTTTTGCTATTCTTGTCACTATCATTTTAAAGTATTTTACTATTTTCAATGACATCATGAATTTTTAATTTGATATTCCTAAGCAGAAAAATATTATTCGGAGTATTTTGATCTATAAAAATAAAAATGCAGACAAGTAGTTTATTAGTTATAACTTATAACTTTATAAGTATTTAAAGTTTTGACGAGCGTTGTTGTGGTCCAACATTTTGTGGGATAGGTACCCCTTGACCACTCCACTAAACTCAACTCATCAAAACTTAAAATACATACAACTAAAATAAACTACTGGTTCAATTTGTAAGCATCGAGGTACTACAAAAAAATATTATTCTTTATAATAAGGAAATAAAAATGCGTGTTCCAGTTCAAAATATAAAAACGATAACGATAGACATACATTTTTTTTAAAAAATTTATTTTTTGACGATTTAAAATTATTTTGAAAAACTTAAAATACTTATAAAAAAAAAATAACGAGGGTCACTCTGAATGATGTATACCTTACCAATATAAATAATATTTAAATGCCTCGGGATCTTTCAATGTGCTGTTCTCTACTTCTGTGTGCCAATTCAAGCCGGTCGTGGTCCTGAGAAGTGAGAACTCAACACGACATCGCCCCATGGCCAAAAACGATCCATCCATATGCGAATCGTGCCGATATTATTATACTGCTAAGCATACTATCTTGTTAGTATGCCAACAATTTTAAGACGTAATTGTCGTATATTGCAGACAATTGTCGATTAAATATAATCTAATATATATGTATATTATGTAATATGGGTGGGAAAAAATTTTAGTAATTTAGATATTAAGATAGGTCAGGCCTGGGAAGCAAGATGTGCTGACGTGTCACAAAATATATTATATAAGACCGCCATACGCGCAGGCACGGGTCAGTCCCGTTGTAGTCGAGTATTTCGACGAGAACGTAGCTACTACAATTGAACGTAGTAGTAGTAGTACGGACCATGAGAAAGAAAGAAAGAAAACCGTAATAATAATACTATGTTTAATAATGAAAATAAATAATAATAATGGTAATCATGGAAATAATAACAATAATACTAACCGTAGACCACCACCACTGTGGCCCCTGGCTTTTTTTTTAATAAATACAGAAACTAGATACCGAACATTTTTACATTGTACATGAAAAGAATGAAGGCAGTTATAATATCATAGTATAGAAGGCTGTGAATAAATATAATAAAGTTATTAATTAATCAGTTATCATCGACCAAATGATTTATTATTATCACAGAATACTCTACTATCCACTACTGTAAAATGGGGTGAATAGGAACAGAATAATATGTAGTCCGAAGTTGAGAACCGATCACCGTCCGCCGAGTTAATGCAAAGAGTTTTTGGCGAGTTAAGGAAAATATGTAATGTAATGTTATCAAAATGTCAACTGTTGAGATCACTTTGGAAGGTCGCAATCATGTCACCAGCCCGGCTTTCGGGAGATGTAGCTCGATGCCGAACATGGCGGTGCAGACTGCTCCTGCGGACGATGCATTCGATGTAGGACTTCCGTCTGCAGCCGACGACTCGGAGCCAATCGGTTCGGTCAAACCGTCAAGTGGTTCAGCCCAAATTGTCGTGGACAACAGTTGTGCAAGTCTAAAATTCCTATGTTACATTTCGCTGGTCAACATGTCAAGAATGAGCTCACGATGGAGGCGCCGTCCGTCCCTCTGCCGTCCGACACATCGCCGTCAGGCTCACCGCCGAAGCAGTTTCGGACTGCCGAAGCGAAAGTTAAACAGCAGTCAAGCAGCGATCTCACGGATCCGTAAAGGCGGCGTTGCGATGCCGAACATTGCAGTGCTATTTTCTTTGGCGGACATAGAGGACGTGCCGTCACGAGAGACTATCGATACGTCTGAGTTCGGCCGAAAGATAGTTGACGACGACGGTACACGCCGCTAGTTTGAGGCAGAACCCTACTGAAGTCGGCCACCTTGATGGAACAGAACTGGTGACCGCGGCGGAGGCCAAACCTAAGAGCCATTCGACGTGGACAAAGCGTTTCTTCCACCGATTGTTGAGTTGCGCTTGAAATTGGTAAGTTCTATAACGTACATAGTTATTGAATCTGAAATTAATATTAGAAAATGAAGACAATTTTGAAACACACTCTCCTCCTCGTAAAAAATTACTATGATTAATGATAGATAGCAATGATGATGACGAAGACGATTATTTAGTAACTCAAAGTCCTACGATAAAACAACTTGAAGAGTATAAAAATTAATGAATACTCTTCAGTTAGTACAAAATAATTGATAATTACACTCATAATATATGAATATAATATATATTCTATACTTTTAATTTGCTTTCAATAAACTATATAAAATTTAAAAATTTAAAACTATATAAAATGTAACCATGTTGTAGCTATGTAAAAATTTAAATCGATAATTAAAAATATATCGTTATCCAACACTAATAGTTAATAATATGATAATATTCGAACGCTTGTTGAAAAAAATGTATACCTAGAATATAAGATTGTTACGCCTTCTGACAATCTTGTTTATATATTATACAGATATTTTTAACCAATTTCCCTGGATGCCGATGTAAGTATTTTTGGACAAATTAAAAAAAAAAAAAATATTTTTAAATTCTGATAATGTTTCGACTTTTGACTAACTACATTTTGAGTTTAAAAATATGAAATTCAACCAAATTTATGAACTTTTTATTGCGATATTATGTATATTTGTTTTCTTCTTTGTACTCAATGACCGCTTTTTACATGAAATTATACATTACCTAACTTTTATATCAGCTTTAGCACTGTCGTTGGTTTTAATTTCCATTAATTTACGATATTATTATAATATTATTCATTCAAATAATAAAAATTCTAATAGTAAACACGGCGTTTTAGCTACAACGCTGTCACGTGTCCATTTTCCAGGTATTTCTGAATAATCATCATATTATTATTATATTTTTACAGCGCATTTATAACTTTTGCAATAAAAAATATATGAAATATTTTTATCGATATTCCATTATTCAATAATACAGTTAAGACTATTGTACAAATATAACTTAGACTATTCAGACATATACACCCCTGCCACCGAACATAATAGAAGCGACCGTCAAACAGCTGTTCTATTTATTTACATTATTCTGTAGGCTTGACATCATGATATTAACAGGGGAAGCTTGGCATAATTTTATGACTATTTTTTCTATAATATGTGATTTCAACAATCATATCTAAAAATATTGGTTAAAAATAGATTTTAAGTATATATCATATTATGTAGTAATTAAGTAGTAATTACTTATTTGTAATTTTTCAAAACAAAATTATAACTAATTGATTCATACTTACTACTTACACATAAAAGATGGTTTAATATTTTAAACTATCATTATCACAAAATATATCACAGAAAAAAGTGATAATAGTGAATTTCAAGCGTTCGAGATCAACTGAAATAATTTTCATCAAGCATAATGAACAATAGTATTAATTTTGATATCTGCCACTTATATTATATTCTATGCTCCTGCCACAGGTCCGTTTTTCCGGTATTTGATCATAGTGGTTTATCAAAATAAATATACGATGTCAGTCAATATCAAGTGTAAGACTCAAGATGGAACATAAGTTTCAATTGTGTTATATTTATTTACTGTGGTAAACATACCAACACCGGTTAGAATACGACAACAAGATTAATATAATAATACCTCCTGCGATATCACTGATGTAAATACTGATTTATATGTATATATTTTTGTCTTCCAGGCAAGCTTTGTAGTTTAATTGTTAATTATTTTTTATTTGATCACTGTTTGTACTTGTAGGTAATTGTAATATTTTTGTGATATAAAATGTGAATTTTTAAAAGCACTTATATTAATGAAAATAAAAATAATTAAAAATCTATCGTACTTAAAAAAAAAAAATATTGGTTAATATCCATACTAGTTTTTGACAGTAAAAAAAGTGGTGTTTTCAATGTATAAGACGTGGTAAACAAGTATCAGGCAACGGACTTTCGTATTTATTTTTCATTATTAATTTAAGTAAAATAATATTGTTATATTGTTATTTATTAAAAACGGGCGTGTTATCCGTATACGTTATAATAACAGTATACAATATGCGTTCAAAATATATTTAATAATTGTGTTTTTTTTTGCACAAAGCCATAAGGTATTATCATAAAAATGTAATAGGAAATTGTATTTTATTCTCTTTTTTTTTTATCAGACCTGAGCCCCATTTCGTTAGAAATATGCAATCATGAGATGTCAATGAAGTATTTGACTGGATACGAGTTTATTTCATGAAATTTGGAGCACTTTGGTGATGTCAACAAAGGGTACAGTTGATTTTATATGGAGTAACTGAGGGTAAAAATATTACTTTCATTCTAGCGCCTTTTACTAACAAAAACGAAACTTAAGAGGTCCCTGCCCCAATTGACCTATATTAAGTAAACACTTTGAAAGTGGTAATAAAAAAATAATAACATTTCGCTTTGCATTGCGTTATACGATTATCAATTAGTCTTAAATTAAATATGACATATTTATACAACTTGTCAGAAAAATAATTCATTTTCAGGTGAAATGATTACCTATATTATATTTAATTTAATAAGATGGATATTTATTTATATTATGTTGTATATAGATATATATCTTCTTTTTTTTTTGCTGGAATAAAAAAATTACTGTTAAAATTCAATTCAGAAGTGACTCTTGAATCACTTGAGATACACTGGTATACGCTTATCTAAGATCAGGGAACGTGATATTTTAGAGACTCGATATTGTTACTTAATATTCTTAATACAATATAAATCACGTACATAAATCAATGGTCTGAAAAGTTTATTAATTAAAAATAAATATGTTATTACATATATACTGAATTAGTTTTTAAACCTTAACTGTAAAATATATATTTATTTGTATATAATTAATAATTATGTTAATTAATATTTATCCAACCAACATTCAAAATATCCAGTATACATAATAATGATTTATTTTCATAAAAATCGTTTGTACAGTATAGTACATCTAAAATTGATTTTTATTCATACTACAAATATTAAAACAAGTACTTACATAAACTATGAGCTATCAATATTTATAATAAATTAGTTATCTCATTGATTTTACTAATTTAATACATTTATTTTAGTTCAACTAATAAGAGTAATAATAATAACAATAGATAATATAAAAAAAAAATGAAAAAAAAATTGTTTTTAGGTATTAAAATAAAGGATGGAATAAAACGTTTTTATTTTTAAAAAATCTATCTTAATTTTAACTTCCCGTGTAAAATATTATCCTTGTTAAACCCTTAAATATTTTATCGGTTAAAATCTACCAAAATCCAATTAGAGTGTAAATTATAATTTTAACCAGTGACATGAATTAATCGTATCATTCTATGTGAACATCCAGACCTCCGCCTTCAAAATTAATTATAAGTGATTATAATATTATATAATACATTAAATTAATATAGAGATTGATAAGTTTTAAAGAATTTTAACAAACCTCATTGAATGTTTTGTGTTTATCATTTTATATATTTTGTAAGTATAACACCTGCATTAAATGTTAAATACTAAAATACATAATAATGAAAAAGAATTCTTATATTAGATATTGAGTATCAATTGGTAATAATGTGTTGTTCCATAGTACCTATTTATTATTTATTTATTTTGTTTTGCATTCATATTTTTTAAGAGAAACATAAAATGTTCAAATATTTCATGAAGAATGATATTCGATTCAAAATTATTCATAATGTATACTCGATGATTTGATAAATTGTATAAAGAATCAGTGGTTAAATATTAATAGTATTACATGAACATTTTTATAAGTTTTAACTTTTAAGTTTAACAACATTTTATACAATAAATATACTATTAACAGTTAACAATGAACTATGCACTACGATGTAGTACATTGAACAACATTAATAATCATATTATTGTACTCCAATTTATATGTATACCTACATATTGTGCCCTTTCAAAGCAGATTAATTATAATTAAATATTATATAAATAAATGTCAGGCTATAAGCAAAATTTTCATATTAAATTATCATATATAATATATAAAACAAATTTACATGGTTTACTGCAACAATTATCAATCTTACTTTCTGATTTCCATATTTTATTTTTTTCATCTTTATGACACATTATTGTCATATATTTTAAACTTATTTTTTATAATGTTAATAACTAATAATGGATAGACGTATTTCTAAACACTATTGAAGTGATCTATTTAAAATTGAAGAGATAATATAAATTACTTACAAAATATTGTCATCCCACTAGCACCTCAAGTTTGGAATTTTATTGTGGTATGAAACTTTCTTGGTGGTTTGTAACAAAATATAACCACGATAACCTATTAAGTATACGATACCTATAGTATATTCATTTATTAATGTATTCAAATTACACTGCATAGATACAGCCAACTTAAAATGATTCTTACAGGATTTAAGTCGTGTCTGGAATTATTCAAATATTGGATTACGTTTCTTAACAAAACGGTGGGTATCAACATTTAGTGACAATTTCAAGTCATCAAAATCATGATGGAGCGTAGGCATTGAGCACCAATGGTACCATTATAACATGATCACACAGATTAAGAGTTTATTTAGTTTATTAACAATTCTTAAGATACTTATTATTATGTAAGTACTAAGTTTTAAAAAAAGTTATTTTTGATTACACTTAGTTACAAAAAAGGTTACACAATTTCGAGAAAAGTTCGTTTAAATTTTCGAACTCAGGATACTGATATAACGGTAATTGTTACGTTAAAAATTAATTATACCATGGATAGTGCTTTCTCCATTTTCTTTTTTCAATAGACTAATTTTCTTTTCTGTTATATTT